AAGACTAAAACTCTCGATGCCTTTCTTAAATGTGAATGTTCGAACGAGTTACCGACATACTCGGCACCGTTTTCACTTGCTGGAACGTCCGTGGGTATACTGATCTTATGTCCACGAGCATGATGTTTCAGCAGGAAGCGAACACAGTCTTCATGGTGGAAAGCACGAGCATCGTCTAGTGGAGTTCGACCCCATCTGAAGATAAATAAGGCAGCTGAATACTGATATGTTGGAATTTTTTTTAGGTATTCTCAGAGGATGAGGTGTGGTGGTGAAGGAAGTGGCCCAGATGTCACACCCATGATCCCTGTATCCGTCTATGGGTCGATCCCGCCTTTAGTTAGGCCAAAATGCTTCCGGCCCTTCCGACATGAAAATAGGTATGTTTCTAGGCCCATAAAACGTTACCACTGAAAGCTCAAGAGAATTGAAAATGGAAAATGCCCCATCCAGACTTCCAATCACAAGGAATAAATGAAAGTTGAAGGAAATTCTGGCAGCGGTAGGATATCAAGTAATACATTTAGAAGCTAGGAAAACGGTTCAGGGTTCTCGAGGTCCCACCACAATTTCACAGCGAGACCTTGAGAATTCCCTACCATCGTCCAGTATGAGCTAAACCCTACTGAGTTTCTGAAAAAAAAACTGAAATATTCGCTCAGGTCTCAACCGCTGGTATAATGGGAGAAGGAAAATGGGTCTTCATAATTAAAAACCGCGATTGTGCTCGAACGTATTCATATCCAATGTATTTCGAAAAAACGTGGATGAATAATGGCATGGGGAAACATCGAAATTCCCCCGAATGCGATACGGTAGGATGACCCGGTCTAGCGGAAAACGGCGCTCTGCACCAGACAGAGTGCAGTGTCGTCATCGAAAAAACCCCTTGGGAATGGTTATGACGTAGTTCCGTTGACAGTTGTGTTACCGTACCTGTCTCGGGGTTGATGATTCACTTTAGCGACGTTTACGAAGAATTTTACAAGGTGCATATGTCCTTCAGCTGCAGCCACGTGTAGAGCCGTTCGACCGTCGTAATCAGCCATTTCGAGGTTAATGCCTTGCAGATACATCCTGAAAAGAATCCCCATTGAAAACAAAACTGTGGAAGAGACGTTGAAGTACTTTGGCTACCGAGAAACTCGGACAAACTGCCCTTAAGACTCTCAAGAAGCAAGAAAAGCTTGCATAACCAAGACCCCCTAAAGCAGGACCCTTCCCCAAAATTCTTTTTTGCTTTTTGAAATTTTGGAATTTTTTTTGGTGCTATTGATTGTTGACCCCACACTATCTCTCCAGCTGAACATTTTTTGCTGCCAACGAGTGTAAACAATCATTCTCCCACTTCGGCGCAATCGCCATCAAAATGAATGCTGTTTGCGTTTGGCAAAACCTCCACTGAACAAGCTTGGGACCTAGCTGTTGCGAGGGAAGGTCTGATAGTGAGAAGAAGTCATAAAAATGCTATAAGAGGCAACCGCAAAGGTAGCAAGCCGGGGGTATTGAAGGGCGCGTGTGTTGAGTTAACGGGATGCCTAGAGGAATACTCAGATTTCTCTGCATATATGTAGTTAGAGAGCAATTATGAGAAACTCCTCTCACAGTACACCAACCTCCCCCTTTTTGATGAAAATTGCGGATTTTCAAAATTAGAAAGAAGCCAAAATGACCTTCGATACGGTAGTTGCACGAAGTGCGTTGTTTTGAAAGAATTTCATTTTTTTCCAACGAGGTCCGTTAGAAAAGTATGTCGCTA